GAATGGGCAAAGAAATTAAATTTTTTTTGAGTTTGGGAGGAGGGAAGTTGAAGGAGTTCATGTGGGAAGGTCACAGTCTTCACAGAAAATCAGAAGCAAGAGTCTCAGCGAAGCAAGACCTTAGCACAGAGAGGCAGATTTGGGTGTCTGACAATGGTAGGAAGAAAAATATTTAAAATAATTGCTGTGATGTGTGAAAGGGAGTCTGTAAAAACGAGTTTAAAAGGTAAGAATAATAACCCACCTTTAGGTAAAATTTATGGCTTATAAAACATTTTTCTCACATAAAAAGTACATGAGGCCTTATCAGACCCTACCAGCTTCATGCCTTCCCCCTCAAATTAACTCATATTCATGGACTGCTTTATAAGTATTTACACATGTCTATGTTCTTTCCCCTGATAGAATGTACACTCCCTGATGGCAGGGACTGTTTTGCTTTTGTCCCTGGATCCCCTGCACCCAGCCCAATACCTGGCACACGGTTGGGGTTGGAGTTGGATAAATGTTTGTTACATGATTGACATGGGAAGCACAAGCATGACCTTCACTGTACAGAACTGCCAGGCAGCAGTGAATGCCCAGCTGAGGTGAAATAGCATGAATCTCTGACTTGGTCAACGTGGTTTCCAATAATGCCCAATATTCAAATGGTTTTGGAGCAGTACCAAATGATGGGCAAGTAACTCATCTGCTCCGTGTCTCAGTTTCCCCAGCTACAAAATGAGGATGACAGTCTTCACCCTGCCCGGCTGAGTGGTTATGAAGATCAAATGATGAACTGGAAAATGCTTTTAAAAGGATAAAGGTTGAGAAGCGGGGCCAAGATGGTGGAAAAAAGACAGGGGCTCGCCTGACCTCTCCCAAATTCCCCTCCAAACAACTTTAAATCATGCCTCAAAACAAATTCTGGAGCAACAGAACCCACAGCAGAAAGGTTGGCAGGAAACGTCTGTGGCACCAAGGTAAGAGTAGAGTTCAGTCCAGAGCGGGCAACACCCTGGCAAGATCGTAGCAGGCCGCACCTCCGCAAACAAACAATAACCTTGGGGGTAACTGAATGAACAGCAGCCGCTTCCAGAGCTCTCTCATAGACGGGAAGGGGCCAGGCAGCTGGTCAGAAGGAGACTACGAGAGTCCCTTTGCTGACACCGGGTGCAGGGCTCTGTTGCACTGCCCATCTGTGAATGTGGGTCGCAGTCTCTGATACACCAAAACTTATGACCAAAGGAGAGAGAGGACCCTGGTCACAGTTCCAGGGTGGAAAAGAGTGCTTGTGGTGGCTCACAGACCAGAGCACAGGCCGGGAGAGCAGTAAAAACATCTCTCCTTAGATCATAAAATCTTGGAAGAACTGAAAACTTACAGACCCCCAGTACTAGCTCTGAAAACCTAAAGCTTGGGATAGCGAACTCTCCATTCCAGAAACAAAGCCCAACCTCAAGTTAAAAGTCAAGAAACTGGCTGGAAAAATGAGCCAAAAAAAAAAAAGAAAGAAAGAAAAAGAAAAAGAACAGAAAGAAAGAACCTGATCATAGAAAGTTACTATGGTGACAGGGAAGACCAAAACATAAACTCAGAAGAAAAATTCTGCCTTACATGATAGTCAGTAGACTGTAGAAGGCATCATCCAGAACTTTGTATTGAGATCCAACTTGGCCAATAGCAATCAACAACAACTGTTCTTTAGCCCTGCCCAGATTAATTTCCATATGAAAGTTGCTAAAAGTTAATAAATTTTACAGAGAAATTTACATTTCAGAGAAAAAACAAGTGTTATTCTTGGTTATACCAAATTTAAGTACTCCCAAAATATACTTAATGTTGAATTCTAAATCCTCTGCTAGAGATATAGCAAAAGTGAGAAGTTTGAGGCTAGGGAAAGGAGAAGAGAGAACAATAACAGAATATGGAGAAGGAAGTGAATGATCCCCTAAATTAACAAACTAGGTAGAGAAGCAGCCGAGTTGATAGCAAGAAAATAGCTGGCTGAAGAACATTCAAAGCCTTAGAGTAGGTTTTGTTGTTTGTTTGCTTCTCTTCAATACTCTTAGGAACTGCCTGTTAAATTCCTGGGGCTAGAATGATCTACTTCAGCTTCCTGGACTGCTCTCATTGTCCCACAGAGGCTCACCTGCCCGATCCCAGCCTGAGAACACGCTCTTTTCAGACAATACATTCAGGTGCTTTCTTACAGAAATAGCTTTGGGCAGGGAGAGGCTAAAGAGTAAAAGGGAAAAGGCAAATGCTGAAGGGGATGTGGGAAAATTGAGATACTAATGCACTGTGAATGGGGCTGTGAACAGATCCAACCATTCCAGAGAACAATTCAGAACAATTCAAAACTACACCCAAAGAGCCATAAAACTTTGACGAGCAATGCCTGTATCCCAAAGAGATCAAAGAAAAAAGAAAAAGATCTATCAATTGGAAATCAAGGGGATGCCCATCAATTGGGGAATGGCTGAACAAGTTGTGGTATATGATTAGAAATGATGGGTGGGATGGTTTCAGAAAAACCTGGGAAGTCTTTTTATGTAAATAGTATTTTATGTTTTTCCAATTACATGTGAGTGAGATGGATGAAGTTTCCTCAGTACTAAAACTCATAAATTCCCTTTGTACTCCCAAAGAAGCAAGAGCTGACCTGTGTTCCATCTCCTCTAGCAAGATAAACATTGTGAAAGACTGCTAGCTTAACCTCCAGAGGCTTCCTGCTTATCCACCTCTAGGCAGACTTGTATGAACTGATCCTGAGTGAAGTGAGCAGAACCAGGAGACCGTTGTACACAGTAACAGCCAAGTTGCTTGATGACTGACTTTGATAGACTTAGCCCTTCTCAGCAATGCAAGGATCTAAGACAACTCCAAAAGACTCAAGATGGAAAATGCTGTCCGCATCCAGAGAAAGAACAATGGAGTCTGAATGCAGATGGAAGCAGACTATTTGCTCTTTTGTTTTGTTTCTTCTTTCTCGTGGTTCCTTCCATTGGCTCTAATTCTTCTTTACATCATGACTAATGTAAAATGTTTAATAAGAACCTATATGTAGAGCCTATATCAGATTGCACGCCATCTTAGGGAGGAGGGAAAGAAGGGAGATCGTGAAAATTTAAAACTCAAAAGCTTATGAAAGCAAATGTTGAAAACTAAAAATAAATAAAATTTTAAAAAAAGATTTTGAGTTACGTATTTCCCTCCCTCTCCTCCCCCTTCCCCAAGACAGAAAACAATCTGTGTGTAATCATGTAAAACATATTTCCGAATTAGTCATGTTGTGAAAGAAGAAACAAAACAAAAGGAAAAAAACATGAGAAAAACAAAGAAAGTGAAAATAGTCTGCTTCAATGCACATTCAGACTCCACAGTTCTTTCTGTGGATGTGGACAGCATTTTCCATCATGAGTCTTGGAGATGAGGATCATCGTATTGCTGAGTAGAGCTATGTCTACCATAGTTGATCACTACACAATGTTGCTGTTACTGTGTACAATGTTCTCCTGGCTCTGTTCACTTCATTCAGCATCAGTTTATGTAAGGCTTTCCAGAAAACCTGGGAAATCTTATATGAACTGATGCAAAGTGAAGTAAACAGAACCAGGAAGACAACGTACACAGTAAAAGCAACATTGTAAGCATGATCAACTGTGAAAGACTTAGCTACTCTGGTAAAGACAGCAATCCAAGATAATTCCAAAGGATCCATGATGAAAAATGCTATCCATCTCCAGAGAGAGAACTGATGAATTCTGAGCACAAATTGAAGCATGATTTTTAAACTTTATTTTTATTGTTTTATTTATTTTATTTTTATTTTATTAAAATGTTTTGCATGACTTCACATGTATAATCGATATCAAACTGCTTATCTTGTCAAGAAGGAGGGAAGGATAAGAGGGAGGGAGAGAATTTGGAACTCAAAATTTTTAAAAATGAATGTTAAAAAAAATTTTGCATGTAATTGGGAAATATTTAATGAAATAAATAAAATATACAAAAAAAAACAAAAAAGTAATTATGGAGACGAACATTTAGGATGATATCTAAAACCAATCTCAGATTCTAAGGCAAGTCAGTTATAGCTACAACAGAAAGTGCAGCCCAAAGTTTAACTTGACTGACTCTTTCTGTCTGTCTCTCTCCCCCCATACTACTATCGCTGGGTCTACAAAGTTTACACGCCCTCAGAGAGACAATGAAATTACCTTTACTGAAATGTTCTTGGTAAGAGTCATTGTTCAGTTCTGGGCACCACATTTAGAGAGGACGCTTATGAACTGCAGGCACCTCTAGGGGAGGGCAACCAGAAAGTACTAATGATGACCATGACAACATGACATACAAGGACTGGACGAAGAGCTTAGAGATGTCTGACCTGGACAAGCAAAGTCCTGACAACATAGTGATCAGGAAGACACTACAAGTCTCTTAAAATACTTAAAAGGCCTTCATGTGAGAGATCTGATGTGTATGGCTTGGCCCCAAAGGACAGAGGTGGAAGAGATGGGTGGAAGCTGCAGAGAGACAGATTTAGGGTCAATGTAAGGAAAACCTTCCAACCCAAAGTCAGACTAGAAGGCTTCCACTTCGTGGGTCCCTCTCCCTGAGTTTTCAGCAATGGCTGAATGAGCACTTTAAAGACACAGTAACAGGTACCATTCAGGTACAGGCTGCCTGACATGCCTTCTGAAATCGCTTCCAACCCCAAGATTTTGTGACAAGTCCCCAGAATGGAGTACAGCTTAGATGTGGCTTAAAGGTCTTAAAGGCCTTTGAGCTGGAAAACTCCCTGAGGAGCAGCAGAGGCAGACTGGGGTCAAAACTACTTTTCCTTCTCAGCCTCCAGCTTACACATCTGCACATCTCCCCATTTTAGATGGTCACCTCTTAGCTAAGGAGACTGAGGACCTGTTTCCCTTAATATCCATGTTCCCTCAGCCTCATCCAGGCCACAGATGCCCTCACTTCACTAAAGCAGGAAACAGAGGCAATACACTTACCTGAGCACCAGGGAAACAGTGTTCCTTATCCAGCTGTCCAGCAATAGGGGCCAACTCCTTCTCGGCAAAGTCCCGGCACGTTTGGCGAAGCATTTGGTGCGTCTCAGGCAGCTCTACACACTGGTAGATGGTGTGCAGCTGCCTCCAGCCCCCGGAACAGAGAGCTGTCCAGGAGAGATGCCAGGGTCACCAGAGCAGAGACATGGATGTGGCAGGGAACCCAGGGGGCATTTGTCCTACCCTCTCCTTTTACACACGAGCAACAGAGGCCTCAGGAGGTACTGGGGCTGAGAGCTGAAGAGATGGCCTCTCAATTCAAAGTCTCTCTGATATATTATATAACAAAGGCAAAACATTTCCAAGGCTCTGTCCCAGGTTCTACTCTCTGGTGACCTCATCCTTTCCTCTAAACTTCTCAGTTATGCTTAGAGCACCACCATTCCCCCCAAATCAATCATACTGGTAAGCTCTAGTTTCTCCTTATCCTCAAGCTGGTTATTTCTCTATCCCCATCCCCTCCCTCTACACCCTCAGACACCACCCTAGCTCTGACCCTCCTCCCATTTCCCACCAGCTCTCTTGCTTATGGACTTCTCTGGACTCTCCATCATGCCCTCCCCCTGGAAACTAATGATTAGGAGATCTCATATGCTACAAGATTGAGTCCCCTTGGTCCCTTTGATCAGACCCTGTGGCTGGAGGGCAGGGTCTTGGCCTTGAGCTCAGTCCACTCTTCTCCCTACTTCCCACCAGCTCCACTGCTTTGGGACATCTGTGGATTCTCCATCATGCCCCCACCCCTTTGGCTTCCTTTGTGAGTTGCCTTCCTCTATCAGACAGTTAGCTGGGGGGTGAGGGGGAGGGAGTGTCTTTGTTTTTATTTGTATTTGTATCCCCAGCACTTAGCACCGCACCAAGTAGGTGCTTAATGAATGTTTATTGACTGATAAAATGCAAAGGCCTCTCATTTCAATTTTTCCATAAACAGGTTTCCAGTTGTATTTGACATCCCATCAGCTTTTTCTCTGTAATTATATTTAATGTCCCTCAAGACTAGTTTGTTTTTCCTTCTAGAACTAAGGTCAAAGGATCTGAGTTCAAATCCTAATTCTGTCCCTTACTACCTATGTGACCTTGAGCAAATCACTTAACTTCTTGGGCCTCAGTTTCCTCATCTGTAAAATGAGGGGATGGACAAGATGAGGGGGTATCAAGTTCAAGTGAAACAGGACCCATGGGTCCCATACTCTGGCTCAGTCTTAAAATGTAAGACTGTCCACGTTTCATGGTGCTTCTATTTACTTTGCCATTTCCCAGAGATGGCTGCGTGTGGCTCGGACCCTGGGATCCTCAGGGCCCCATGGGGCCAGGGTCGCTGTCTGGTCTCCACCGCCTCCTTCCCATCCTCAGTCTCGGATCCTAAGCCCTCCGCCCGCAGCAGCCTCGTCTGCTTCCAGCCTGGGGAACCCGCCCCCTCCTCAAATGACGCGCTGTCCTCCCAGGGCCGGGGTTTGACTGCACCGGCCACACGTGGGTCCTTCCCGGGTGGGACGGAGCTGGTGGTCTCAGGAAGCGGCGGCTCTGGGGGAGGGGTCTGGAGGGCGGAGCTGGGGGGAGGGGCGGAGGAGGAGGTCCGAGGGTTCAGGTGGCAGGGGGGCCCCCAGGAGGGGAGGGGAAAGGGGGGCGCGGAGAAGGGCGGGGGCATCCTCGGGCGTGGCCCCCGCGGGGCTGGGGGTAGGGAACAGCACACGAGCCCAAGCGGCGCGGCCGGGCCCGAAGTGGGGCAAAGGTCGCCCAGAGGG